GTCGTACATATCCTTACGTAAGATTTTTCATGTCTGCTGCTGTCATGAAAAGTGAGCAATATTAACTTTACATTGAGCATAATCGGGAAAATCTTACGTAATTAGGGGAGGGGTTCAGAAATTCTGACATTTGCTTACATGGGAAGGGGGGAGAATCAAAAATGGCCAAAATATGCTTACGTACTATACGGTCCCTAACATGTGTTACAATTTTATATAACATACTCTCTAAATCTGAATCAGTAGAAAAGTCAACGATTGAATCAGTAATGCCTTGCATCACTAACGAATAAGTGAATCAGCTTTTCACGTTTTATTGACTTTTCTATTCTGATATTAATAACATGAAACATATTCTGATATAAATGTATAATAAAATCATATATTAAGACAAAAGTTGAATCTTTCAATAAATATTAATATTATTTGATTATTTGTTGCTGAATTTTTGTCAATAATTTTAGCGATTTAGATGGCGTTTCTTTAAACAGTGATAATATTTCCATACATTATGATAACATAATTACCGAAAAGGATGAGATATACAAAATTATTAGTCGCGCAGGAAAAAAACCGCTATGGATTGGTAAGAATATTATTATAGAATTATGAAAAATGTAATGATATTTCATGTCCAAGAAAAATTTAATTATATACATGTATCTTATATAAATATTTGTATTGACGCATATACGCTTATATTGTTATAGCAGAATCTAAACCACAAAAGAGCAAACATCAATATTTAGAAGCGCTTATCTTCACGAGGAGACTTGGGGATGCTGCTAAGCTCGGTATACAAGTTGTAATGAGACAATTGTCGGACTTGTCTCAAGCAACTCCTGTAAGTCACTCAATATAAACAAATAAATTTTATTCGATGTAAATAAATTTTGATGTAAATTAAATCTTGATAAAGGTAATTAAACCCATATCTAATATATATTGTGAAAAATAATTACAATATAATATATGGAAATATAAAGAAATATATTTAAGCAGTTGCTTGTTTTTAAAAGATAAATAGGATATATAGATGAAATTATAAGATTATTTAAATTATATAAGTTACCGTTATATTTTAATAACAATATCGTTTTTTATCAGATATATTGGGTATCATTATTGTATAAGACTTTAGTGGGCCGTGAAGTCTTGGACATGAAACTTCAATCTAACAACGAAAGTTACGTGCACTTTTACAGCCATTGCACAAAGCCATCAGCGTTGTATAGTAAAGGAGCTATTACAATTTTCGGTATAAATTTAACACCAAGAAAAGTGACTGTTAGTTTAAAAAATCTCAAAATCCAAATTCTTCACAAGTATATTCTATTACCAGATTTTGAAACTGGCAATAAAATGTTTTCAGAGTAAGTAACTTAATAACCCGTAAATATAATATATAAAATAATATATTTATTCTACGAGTATTCTTCGTAATATTATAACAATATTCTAGTCTATGTAATATGTGACAAACAAAAATGCTGCTACAGCCAATATTTTAATCGATATACTAAAATATGGACAAATGATGCGTGTTTTCTGATATACATTTTTTAAAATAATGGAGTATTCCTTTTCATTTAACAAAACAAATAAACGTAAATAAACGTAAAAAATAACATTAATTTCTAAATTAGAACAAAATTTTAATTTTTTCAGGAAAGTCTTATTAAATGATGAGCCACTTAATTTAATAAACGACAAAAAGTTGCCAGATATAAATCCAGAAATTATAATCAATTCTGAGGGTCTTGAATTAGAACTCCTTTCTGGTGGCATAGGTTTCTGGATTATACCTAATGCAAAGGTAAATTGAAACTATTTCGCTGCATGTATACATTAAATATAACGATACGTCGATAATAAAAAAGATATTAATTTAACAGGTAAAAGCTTGCACTTGTTCTGCAGAGGAAACAATCGAAACAATGGAGAACAATATAGCGAAGAAATTATCGAAACGACATGAAAATAACATCCAACAAGACAATCAAGAAGAGAAAGAAAAAAACATGAACCAGTTAAATGTAACAGATGATGTAGAAGAAAATATAAGGCGGTTAAATTTAAAAAAGCTGAAAATTTACGGGAAACAAGATAATAAAAAGCAAGAAAACGTAAAAAATACTAGAAATGAAAGTCAGCACAAAGTATGGAGTTCTAAATTACTTGCAAGAATAAAAAGAATTTTACAGAAAAAACTGCAAACAATGAATAAAAATAAATCTTCAAATTTGCAAAGATCATTCATAATCGATTTGGGAGACGAAAATTTTGAAGATGTTGAAGAACAGCAAAATTTAAAAAATTTTGAAAAAACAGAAATTCATGACAAGTTTGAAAGCATTCGAAATACATTAAAAAAGTATAAATATATTTTACTAGAGAAGAAGACTGAAATGAAAACCAAGGATATTCAACATCTTGAATCAGAAATTGACAATGTTGTGACGTTAATATCAAAGCTCGATGCTCTTCTTCTTCATAAAATTACTTCAAACGAATCAATTATGAACAAAATCAAAGATAAAACAAAGAATGTAGAAGAATCAATTATTAAAATAGATAAAAAATTAAAAGAATATTTAACTGAATTAGAAAACTCAGATGAAATAAAGGCAAATAATATAATAAAAACGATAGGAAAGTGTTTCAATAAGCTCTATAATTTATTAGAAGATAATGACTTAATTAAGAACAGGAAGAATGATCAGGTTTCTATCTATAAAGATCTAATCAAGGGAAAAAGATTTAAAAGACATCTAGGTAGGAAATCAAAAAATTCTAAAAAAATTAGGATACTTAAAAAGCGCTCCCGAATAGATGATTTAAAAAATTATATAATTAAAAAGAAGACAAAACGAAAAAACGACGATAAGAAAAAACCAATTTTATCCAATAATTTTTTTGATAAAAAATTATTTTCAAAAAAAAACTTTATTAATAATAAAAAAAAATATAATAATCTGCTTCAACAAAATCTTGTTAAAAAATTTTTTAAATTAGATGCTTTTAAAAACGCTGACAATCATATTGGTTATCCACATTTAACTCAAGAACATAATAGAATAGAAAATGATAATATCTATAGAAAGCATTCTAAAATTAGCGATATGGAAAACAATATGCAACAGTTAGTTAACTATTATGATGATTCCAAAAAGCAGGAATATGATTCGAATTCTTTTGCTGTACCTTCTCAAGTTTCTACTGTGGCATACAATTACAACGATTATCAAATTTCAAGTGTGAATTACGACAAATTAAAAGAAAAAAATGGCTTTATTAAAGATATAGATAATAAAGATATTAATGCAAAAGTAACTCAATATTCTATACCTAATACATATGCAAAACATTCTATTTATAATAAAATTTTTCATAATAAAAGAAATAAAAGAAGCAATTCACAAAAGCTTCAAAAGATCTTTGCTGAAGAAATGATTAAGGAGGACGAAGAAAACGCGAAAGATTGTCATTGTAGAATCATAAGAGTTTCTAATTCGCCGAGGAAGCTCTATTATCATCGTGTAAAACGTAATGTTTCAGTACCTATAACTCGATTTACAGATATTTCTTCAGAAAATAAAAATGTAAATACAGATGTTGTACAATCCAAGGAAAATTCTACAATAAGAGAGGAATACGAAGAAATTATGACAGGAGAGATACTACCAAGTACGAACGTCATTGAGTCTGATTCTGAAGAAAATAGTACGACTACGGAATCCGTAATCACAGAATTAAGTACAGTGGATCCTAAACTGAACGATACGACGCAGACAATTGATGTAATATCAATATCAGGAGTGGACAATGTTTCAGAGCAATATCGTAACACGAAAAAATCTACCACTAATTTATTACCTGTGAACTCAGATTCAGAATTTTTTCTAAATAATAATAATAATAATATTAAATACGTCACAAAGAAAACGTTTTTTCGTACCCAATCATCAGATATCCAATCAGATAACAAGACAAAAACGTATGATTCTCCCCAAGTTATTTCTAAGATTCCTACAGAAAATAAGAACATTCGGGAAGAGCTTATTGTCTCCGTTACTGAAAACGCACAAGAAACAGCCTACGAAAAAATACAAGATCTCATCAACAAAAACGAAAAAACCGACAGTTCAATCTATTCAACAATCGCCGAAGATCAGAAAAACGAAAAAGGGTACAACAGTGATTATAAAATTGGATTCAAGTCAACCAATTCTCTCAAAGAAACAACAAAAGGAATTGACGAGCAAGTAACGACGGAAACAATTTTATTAAAGCGAGCAGCAAGTATAACAATTAATAACTCAAAATCGAATGAATCAAAAACAAAATCAAAGTTGCGAGACACAGAAGATAATCAGAACAATGAATCGGAAATTCGAAAGCAGTTGGGGAAACGTACCAATACTAGAAGATTAAAGACCACACTGCAATCAAATCTTCCTCGAGCATCGTTAGATTCCTCGTATCTCAGTAAAAACGAGGAACATTTGACGAGACGCACAGAACAGATTGATAAACTAATAGAAAAATTGAATGCAAAACGGAAGAAATTGTTGAATCAGTATCAAAATGATCTAACAAAAATTACTGACGAACAGAAAAAAAATTTGAAAAAAAGAGAAGCATGGGATAGACTTCGTGAAAGTGATTTTCAACAATTGCTCGATCGAAAGTTTATTGAGATCCTACTAGATGATGATGTTACCGACGAAGACGGTAACGTTGAAAATTATTTAAATCTCATCGAGCTTGTTCCTAAACAATATAAGAATGTTATAGATAAAATATATTTACTTGCAAAAGCAAAGAAAATACATTATCCGGATAACAAATATTATCAGTTTCTTCGAAATCTAATCGAAGATAACGAAAAACTAACAGAAACATCTAAATCATCAGAACACAAATATAATCAACATTATAAATATATTCCAAAATCAATCGAAGATAAACAAGAATCAATTGACGAACGAGAAACTGCCTCTAGATCTTTTAATCGCAAAGTCTTCATATTTGATCCCTCGACATATTACGGTGGCGAACCAATTTTACAATTATATGAGGACTACTTAAAACTTCCGAAATACCAAATCGAAAATCCAACTCCAAGATGGATATTAAAAAACATTCATCAAATTTCCAAATCACAAGAATATGTAGAAAAATTGCCAATCAAGAATTGTGATCAAGAAAATACTAATATTTTATATGTTCTAGATACGCAAAAGCAATATAATTTATCAAAGAAACTCACAGCTCTTGCACAAGCCTGGCTGAATTCTCTTAATCGAAAGGATGTCAATCATAACAAAGTTGTAAGTAATGAAGAAGCAAATGATTTAAATAATATGCATAAAAATCCTCAAACAGATAAAGATAATTTGGATTCTATGTCAATAAATGAAAAAACAGAATTTATAAGAGGTTTTGGAACTAAAAGCAACATAGAAAATAAAAAATTTACCAATTCCAATAATAAAAAAAAAGATATAATAAATTCAGAAAAAACTGAAGATGCTGGAGAAGTGGTAAAGACTAAAAAATCTGAAAATATCGAGTTGACAAAACAGAAAGAAATTAATAAATCTTACAATCCAAATGATAAGGTAGAAAACAATTTAAATAACCACAATAAAATAGTCGAACATATTAGAAAAATCATTGAAGATGATCCTAAAGGAAAAGAACTTGGAAAAGAAAATATACGGTCCCGAAGAGATGTTGAGCAACAAACAGATAAGTATGTAAATAGAGTGATTATCACATTTTTGGAACGTATTTTTTGTTTCTTTACTTATTTATAAAAATTTAGTTAGTTTAAAATTTTTAATTTTTTTAGTTGTTATTTTTATTTGCATTAATTTGATTTTATTTTCTGTTTTCAGATTAATTAAAGATATAAAAAATAAATTCAATCGAATGAAAGTCCGTGAAGGAATGAAGGAAAAGTACATACAGGAGATATTTGACAAACCAATGATGATTTTTCCACTGAATGATAAACTATTAAACGCTGATATGTTTGAGAGATTAAAAAATTACTTACTTTCTTTAAAGAGAAATTTCGAAGTTAATCAACAGACTGTGAAGGAACGTGAATTAAATTATATCGCTCTTGTACCGATTAAAATCAGGAATATTTACGAGATGTTAAATGCGAAAAATAACAACGATTCATTAGAACATCTTGAAATTCCTGCACAATGGGACAATCAGTATGTACTAGGAGAAATGTCAGATTCAATGAATAAGTATTTAGATGATGACAAAGCATCAGAGGAATTCGAATATGAAGATCTTTCAAATCTACAAAGTGCGAATAGTGAAAGTATTCTAGACAAAGAGAGTTGTTCATGTGAAAATAAGCAAGATATTTTTGTAAAAGACAGTGAAGTCGAATCGGAAGAAGATGAACAATATAGAATTACAAATGACGAAATCGATACATATTTAAAAATGAAGAATCAAGTAGAATCTAACAAACGTAAAATACTTTTATTACTTCCCTGGAGGAGCGTAAATAGAAGGCAGCAAAGACAAATTAAAAGTGAAGACATAGCTGAAATAAAACGCGAGGTAAATATTCTAATGTAATAAAAATTGATTGAAAGCAACACTTATTTTGATATATTTTTTCTTAATTTTCTAAACTGTTTTATTATTGTTTTATACTTTATATAATTTTATATTAGTAAATTGCGTGCAATTTTCTTTTCTTTACATTATTGATGTCACCTTATTTTAATATATCATTCTTTTTTTTTGAAGATTACAAGGCAATCACAACCAAACGAATCCATTCTAGCTAAAGATCTCAAAAACAAACGCACAAAGAGATATTATTTAAATAACAATATTGATAAAGAAGAAGAAAATATGATGGCGACGAATGATATAAGAATAAATTATTTACCTCAAACAAACAGAAAAAATTATGATAATCTTCTCGAAGGTTTCATAGAAACACGTAAAAAAAATAATTTGTATAATAATAAAGCATCTTCTGTAAGAAACGAAGAAAAAAAAGAAATTATATCATTAAATAACATTTCAAAGAGTGACAAAAAATTATTACAAAAAGAAATTCCAAGGTTGCAAAATCATATGGAATCCGTGGAAGAATTTGTAAATAATCCTGAGAAGAATTTCAATGACACTTTAGCATCGAACGAAGACAAACATCACAGAAATAAAACTTTTGGAACTATTGGCAATGTTTTCCATACTGCGATTATAAATATAAAAGATTTTTTGGCATTATTCTCAAATATTCCTCGAATATTTATGCAGAAATTTTAAATAATAAAAATATAATTTTAGTTATTATAAAAATCCGAATTCTTAAAATAATAATATTATTTATATTCATAATCACACAATATTGTTTATCAGTAGTATGAAATGAATAAAAGAAAATAAAATTCTACATGAAAGAATAAATTAAAAACATATAATTTCTTGGTACAAAATTTAATATAAAATTTAATAGAAAGAGGAAGTAGAAAAATTTTAAATATTATTCCTCAGTTTTTATTTCAACAACAAAATTTTATATTTTTCACTTACATTTTCATGTAGAATTGTTATTATGTATATTTATAACTTGTAAAACTTATTTACACAGTTTCAAAATCACACACATTATTAAATTATATTATAAAAGATTTGTATATGTGTTTATAAGTGCTAATCTTAAAAAATTATAAAATAAAATAAAAAGATTTTATATGTATGTATAAAAAAATTAATAAAATTGAAAATAATGTATGTATAAAGATATATTGTAAATATTATATAACATTATATATTGCTAATGTTATCAAAAATTGAAAAAATTATACATTGTTTTATATAATATTGCACATTAGTATATATGCACGATATGATTCAATTTTATAATCGATATGTATTATTTATTAAATAAAGGAGAAACAATAAATATGGAAACTACAAATGTATTAAATTGCAACATATAATATTATTCTTAATAATTGAAACAAATTAAAAAATTTTTGCGTTTTAAGACTTTTGAAATTAATTCAAGTGCCATTTAGTAAGCTGGTTAATTATATTACAAAACTTAATCTTACTATAATTATTTTAAAGAAATGCAGATGCATTTTGGAATTATATTATAATAGTGATCAAAGACATCATTTGTATTCGTAGAATTGCAAGCGATATTATAATTATAAGCAATTCTTATAAGAAAAAATCAGGTCACTAATGATGATTGAATCACAAGTTGTTCACACACATGCATATATACGATACATACTTGCAACATAATTAAGGAGTTAAATTTCATAACGATGTGATGATAAGATATATATACAATCGTTGGATCACCATACAACACAGTGCGCTTTTGATCATGATCGAGTTCAGTTCGTTTTTGGAAACGTCAGTGCAAAGCTGTAAATTTCGCTGTATATTTATTACACATAATATTTACATTTTTTTAGTTTATGCAATACTCAGTTTAATTAAAATTAAAATTATAAAATTAATTAATTAATTATTTAATAAGTGTGTTAACTGTTCTTTTATTTAATTCTTATTTTATTCATATTTTTATTTAAAAATTACGTATAGCACATTTGTTATTTCTTTAATGCAGTTATTACTTTAGATAATTATTAAATTATTTAATAGTTAATCAGTTTAACTATTAATTTAAATAATTATAAATATTGCCAATTTTTCTTTTTTCGATTATACATAGTCCACGATTTTAATATGATTTACTTATATGTAATATAAATACTACTATTGTAACTGTATTATTATCACGTAATAAAAAATTTTGTGTTTACAATCAAGGAGTGTGATAACATCAGTATAAAAAAGTGATCAACATGTATGGCAAGATTACTTTGTGCCTTCTGAGCTTACTTGCAATTGCCCGTTCAAAAGAAGTGTCTACTGCTAAAAATGTGGAAACTGCAAATTTCATGAATTCAAGGTAAATAAAAACTGTTACTTTATTAATTAATTGAAGTAGAAAAGTCTAAATAAGAAAAATTCTTAATTTTTTCGAATCTGATTCTTTTTAAAGTAAAGTAAAAGTAGTTCAATTTTTTGAATTGCGAAAAGTATGTCAATCGTACTTGCATAATTGTTTGTCAGCACAATCATTAATGTCATTCATACACACCAATGACCTGCTTCGTCACAGCAAACTGCTGAATTGAGAATTTTTAATCTAAAGTTGTCAGATTGCCTCATGATATCAATATAAGATACAGATAAAATAATATAAAACATGTTTTTTAAATAAAAAAATACTGTTATTTTAATTATTTAAAATAATATACATAAATATACATAATCATATATAAAAATAATTTTATGTATAATTTAAATAAAAAATAAAATACCATGCATGATTTAAATAAAAATTATCCAAACAATTAAAGTTATTATCAATTTTATTGTCATCTAATTAATATAATAGTCATATTTTCTTTCTAAACAAATATCTTATTATTTTTAGATTAACAACAATTTTACCCTATTCATCATTATATAATGATGAACATCTCATAAAAGATAATAAGAAGAGATCATTCGTTTTATTAATGCCAGTATCAGAAACACGAAATAAACATAAAAAGTCAAAGGAAACAGTTAAAAAAACAAAGCGTTGCGATGAACAGCATAAAAAAAATAAATTTTTGTTGTCAACAAAGGAAGATAGTAACAGAGTAAGAACCACGGATAAAAATATCAATGTGGGAATCTCCAAGCAAAATTCAAATGACCATACTAAAAAAAATAAAAAATACTCGCGGAAAAACTCAGCAACGTCGAAAAGAATGGCAACTGAAACATATGAGGATAAAATGCTTTTGCGAGCTTTCAAGAATAATCTAAATGAGGAGGATATGAATATAAATTTAAAGTCTAAAGAAAAAGCGAAGAAATGTAATACAGAAAAATATATTTGCCATTGCGAAGAAGAGAAATGTTCTTCTAGTTCATCAAAGAAAAGTTCTTCAAAAATGTTAGGTTCATCTAAAACAGACGACTCTGGAAGAAGGAGACCAATAAAATATGATAACGCGAAACTAGATATCTCACAACAAAAATCACCAATATTATACCATGAAAATCCTTATAAATTGCTTCTTCCTAATCTAATAGATTATTTCTCAATTCAACCTTATTCAGAAAAAATAAACAACATCCCTCACGTACCAATTCTATATGAAATAACGCCATACATGGTTGAAAATGAAAAAAATATCGATGTTGGAATCCCGTTTACTTCATTTGAGGACAGACAAAATTATTTAAATAAGCCAAATCATTTAGTTGGAAATAATCAATATCAACCGATTATTCATAAAAAACCGTGCATTTGTTCACCTATAGACGATCAAGTTGAAAGTTCCATATCAATTACTTCACCTTCGACAAATTATGTTGATGAAACAACTGCAATTAAGGAAACAACAAATGATCTTGAATCAAACAATCCGATTAATACCACCGAAAAAAATCAAGAACATTTTCCTAAACTAAGTACAGAAGTTCCAAATATAGAAGCACCAGCTGATTCAGAAACAAAAACTAATTTACACTTGAATTATTCGAATGATGTAACGGAAGAAAGTAACACTATAGGTTCTTCTAATTTAAATAAAGTTATGCACAAATCAGAAGATTTTACAGAACAAACTGAAAAAAATTCAGATAATCTCTCTAAGTTAACGACACATTCGGCAGATTATCTTGATATAAGTAGCACACCATCCGTTATCTATGATAAAACAAATGATGGAAAATTTATAAATATAGAAGAATGCATACAACTATTTGGTCGTGATGTGTGTGTTCTCAGTGCGACGTCACCAAGAATGTTTGCTAAACAGGCGCAAAAAAATAATCCCAACAAATATTCTATGATAAGAATTCCGGAATATGTCACACAAATGTCCACTAGAAAAGAAACAACGTTAAATACCAACTCGGATAAATTTAAAGCGACTGATCCGTACTTTGCAATGGAGTCACCTACTAACAAAATCAATAAATCAAATGTTAATTTAAATAAACATCTTGAATCAACAAGTATAAAATCAACTGATATCGATAAAGCTTCTAGTAAATTTAATCAATATCCAGAATCTGTCGAACAAATTTCTGAGCCAGATATCAACTATGATGAAAATAAATCATTTAGTTCTGTAAAAAATGCACATAATCCAATCAAGAAATTGATAAATCCTATAAATGATGAAATCGCAAAGACAAAAAAAAATAAATTGTTAGGAAAGAGTAAAAGTCATACAACTAAATTATTGCTAAATCCAAATGATAAGGAAATACCAAATTCAACTTCAAGCCAAAAATTTCTTTATTCTACTCCTTTATATAAATCTAGTAATGACGAAGACGCAAACAATTGGAAGATTAATCAACAAAATCAAGTACCAACTATAAATTTCAATTCAAATATTTCTGATAAAGAAAAAACAACAGTTACTAGTTATGATCCTAAAATCGATTCTGAAAAACAAAATAGAAACCACTTAAAAGAAACAAATACAAATATCTATTCTGAAAAGAAAATTCCTCAAAAACATTTCAAAGAAGAGACTACAACTAGTTCTAATTTCAAAACGAGCAATAATTTTACAGAGGAAAAAAATACAGAAATAATAGGAATAAATGTCAGTACCCAGCCGGGAGATATTTTTCAAGAAGAATCTACAACAATGCAATATTTTGATGATAAAAAATCGAGTAATTTAAACAATAAAGAAAGTACCACCAATAATCTCAAAACATTCATCGATTCATCAGCAAATAGATTACCATTTTGTGATAATACCTTGCTTTTAAATTCGATCAGAAAGGTCATCAATGACTTTACATTAGATACTCGAGTATCGAAAACAAAAGATTTGAACGAAAATATTCTTCAAACGCAAGGTAAAAATTTACTGCCAGAAATTTTGCAAGTTCCGAATCTGAAGAATATCTTGTCGGTACCGCAGATAGAGAACACGATAGTAGAAAAGGTGAAAGACGTTTTGTCTTACGTCACAGCTATTCCCAGAAAAGATTTCACAAACGATTGGTCACATGGTATAATTAAAAACACTCTACGCAGCATATTGGACGGATTTTCTGGTTTTCATCACAAACTTCCACCTAATATACTCGAGGAACATCAATTCAAAAACGGACAATGGGGAACCAATTTAGTGACTTTAGCACCCATTTCAGACCAAAAGTCAAGAGCGAGATCGGAAAACTTGCGTGAGAGCATCAAAGATCTTTTAAGCTCTCCGGCAATCGCATCGCAGACAAATCAGGAGATCGTGCGGAACATAATTGTGCAAAGCGTGAAAAATAGTTTAATTAATGATAAAGATGATAAAATAGACGATACGATAATTTATGCACTAAATGACATTATCCAAATGTTTAAAAATTCAGAAGATACTAATACGTTAGAAAAAAGCAACGAAGTTATTAGTGATAAAAAAAATATGGACGTGGCTTATATGCAAGAAATGCCAACAAGTAATTACGAAATAGAAATAAATGTTGATAATTCAACATTGAATAGCAAACAGAATCTTGATGTAAAAAAAGATATAAAACTGGACGATAAGAAAATACAGACCACAGACTATCAAAAAGCTAAGACATTAGAAAATGACGCAAACATATTAACTACTTCTGAATTTCCATACTTATTAAAATTATATGAAGAAAAAGAAGAAGAAACAACAAATAAATCTAACGTAAAAGAAGATATTAAAGATCAAATTTTAAATAAAATAAAAAAGATAGATGAACAAAATGACGCAGAAAAGAAAGTAGCTGAATCACTGAAACCCAAAATAACTTATCACAAAGCTATTTTACAAAATAATCCTAACGTATTAATAACTTCTGAACCAAATTCAACAGGAGCTGAACAATACATAAAAAATCATCAAATCGATAAGGAAAAAGTTAAAGAAACAACAACAATCACAAATTTTATGCAAGAAACTTCGTCTGATTACGGACAAATATCGGATGATAAAATTTTAGAAAGTACATTAGGAACTAAAGATATTGAAGGGGAAGTAAAACATATATTTAATGAAAATATATTGACTACTACAACTGATAAGATTGATCCATTAATAATATTAGAAAGAATTAAATTTAACTTGCCACCAACAAAATATTATTCGCCGGAGATTTTAAAATATGCAACAAATCGTATTGATGATGAAAATGTTGAAATTACGACAGCAGCCGCAAACTTTATACAAGAAACTTCATCCAATTATGCACAAGATGGCATAATTTTACAAAATATAGCAGAAACTAAAGATAGAAATGAAATGGAAACAAAGAATCCACTAACTGCTACATCTGGTAATTTAATTTCATCCACAAATGTAGAATATAAAGATTATAAACCCAAAATTATTTTGCTAACGGATAAAAATATTTCAAACACGCAGAATTTCACAGAAGATAACATTATTAAAATCCACGAAGTTACTACGGAGATTGAACGAACCTACGCAAAAACCACGTATTTCAAGGCAGGATCTTCTAATAATGATAACTCAAGAATTAGTTCACCTTCATTAACTTATGAAACTATGAATATACATATAAATAATGATAATGCAAACAATAATAGCAATAGCGATAATGATAATAACAATCTAATTGGCAACAAGATGAATATTAATACTGATAATATTATAAAAACGAAAGAAGTAGCTGTTTCTTCTTCCAAACCGTCTGCCATTGATGATAATTATCCATCTGAACTATTTCCTTCATCAGTTGTTTCCGACGATATCTCAGAACTTCAAAGATCGCAACTTTATTACATCAGTGACGGCGTGAAATTACCGCTGGAGATAAAAAGACTGGAAGATGGATCTTATGCGTTATCAATCTCCAAAAATATATGCGAGCAAATTTTATCAAGAAAATGTCCCTGCTGCGTGCCGCTGCAAGGATATATAGTTCGATCATTAAATGATGACCAACAAGAAAATATACATGCGACAACTTCAACAATTATAGAAAAGAAAGAAAATATGTATGTAAATAACTTTGAAAAAGATTATCAACCGATTCAACCATCTAGCAATAGCATAACGATTACGAGGAGAAACACCTTGAAGACACAAAATTCTAAGGAAGAAGAAGAACAAGAAAAAAAAGAAAGGATAAATGCATGTCATTTATGGAAACAAAATAACAATAATTTAGCAACAATTCCAATGCCCGTCGTCGATTTCGCAAAAAAATACAATCTATTACTCGATTTCACTGAAGAAGGATTATTGAATAGAGCCGGATTACAAAACAAAACACAAAATTATAATAAATCAGTAATGAAATCAGAGGAAGGATTTGAACATCAATCAGAACAAAAGAATATTAATAATTATCATGATATCGAGAAAAATAGATTATTGGATGAAAATAACGACGCAATTAATAAATTTCGCGAGAAAAAGAATACTCCAAATATTAATTTCCAAATATTTCCAATTACTCAAAAAATTTTAAATTCGGAGGAGAATTCTAGAGAATTTGAAGTACAAAAAGCAAATGCACAAATGAATCAATCGGAAAGAAATCAAGAATTAAAACGTGAAATTAAAACTGCAAACGATGTTCAAAATATAAATATTGTACAGGAGGTAAATTCTGAAAATAACGAGAAGAATTCTCTTCTTAAAGAAATTAATATTTCGGAAGATTCCAAAATAAGCAAAGAAAAAATAAAATTGAATAAATTATTGGATATTGAAAAAGGTAATTATCATATGACTCACAATAAAAGATAAAAAAATATATAAATATAATAACTTTGTTTTAGGAAACACTGTTTTCCACAGAAATGAAAATAGGGATCAGCATGAAGCAGCGGAATTAATTGACGACTACAACGTTCCAGAAGTGAAAAATTTTAAAGAAAATATTGGAAAGCCGTATAGATATCAACGAAATACGAATGGCGTTGCAAATAAAAGAACAGAAATAGTAAAATCTATGCTTTATTGGCTTAAAGGTCTTTTCGTGGACAAATAAATAATAAAGAATGGTTCTCCCTCTAATGTATATGTATATAACATTTTAATAATATTTTAAAATATCCTTACTCGTAATTCTTATAAATCGTATAAATGTTAATTACATCTTTTAATTGCTATTGTGTATTTTAATAATTTACGGTAATTAAAATAATTTTTGATTGTGCATTATTATATTGTATTGTGTATACATTGTTAATCGAATAAAATGTAATAATTTTTTTCCTATATAAGTATAATTATTATAATTTAAATTTAATTTCAAATTTCAATTCCCCTTTTCAATTTACAAAATATTAAATATGGAATTGTGCTATTTTATGTATCCCAACCTACATTATAATTATGCAATTATTTTATTATTGTGAGCTATTTATGGTATTATAAAAAAAATTTGTCACTCACCAATTAGATGCGCAACGGATGGAGTTATCTGCTATGAAGCTACGATGATTCTGTAACACTGTATAAGATTTAAAATTTTTTGTATTATTTGATTTTTTAAATAATTTTTGTTGAAAATTTTTTATATCATTTGATTTTTAAATAAAAAATTTTTTTTTAATAATTTTTTATATCAGTTGATTTTTAAAA